CAGATTACAGACATGCAATAAGACTTACTTGCTGTACAGAAAATCAGAGACGGTCCTATGTACGTTCTAATACTTCAACGTATGAACAACACAAGCATTTGCTTTTGTATGAGTGAATAATCTTACGTAGTACATGATAATTTAGGAAAGACAGATCAAAACAGTGCTAGCCATGTTAAAATGATGGCATTTAACTCAATCTCCAATAGGTATTTCATGCTTAAAAAGAAACATTAATATCTATTTTTTCTATTCAGTGATCAGATCTCAACCACTCTCATCACTCTTCAGCACACATATGCTGAAAATGAAATGGAATTGAGCTGTGACTCCAGAGACTGGTTCCTTCCATTTAGTTATGTCATCATTCACCTGATACTTTGTTTTTCGTGTGTGTGTAGCTTTTTCTCTTAATTTCAACAGAGTAGAAAAAAAATTAAAAACATTTTCTTAACAGTTAAACATACTTTACTAGAGCCATAAAGTTCTACTTTCTAGAACTTTATCTTTAAAAGTCAGTGCATCATTTACTAAATCTTAGTACAAGAAAAGAACAGAGAAAGAGAACATATTGCACGAATCCTGGAAAAAGGTCCACCGACTCGTGTGGGGTCATGGGGCTGTGCATGGGTGAATCCCTTTTCAGGACTAGGATTTATGGACAACATGAATTTTGGCAGCGTGCCACAAATCCTGTACTGTCAATCAGCTAAAAAGCAACAACTTCAACAAACTTGAAGATTGAGTTAGCCCACTGCATGATGATTATGGTGCTGACCCTGCAATTAGATCCATGCAGGTAGGACCATATGCCTTTGTCAAGTCCACTGAAGTCACAGAGGCTCTGTATGGGCACAAAAACCCCACCTTTCCCAACTACAGGATCAGCCAGCACCTAGAGATTTTATAACGGAAACCTGAACAATTTTTATTCATTTAGAGAGATTACACAGTCATCAACTGTCACAATTTCATTTTTAAAAACACTGTTGGTTAAAATATTTTTAGAAATAGATTTATTGTCTTCCTGGTACCACTAACACCATCATAGATAATAAAGATGACAAGTAAAAAACCCAATTTACTTTTCAACATTTATGCTGTTTCCCAGCACTTAAGCTTTAAAGCAAAGAGCTTCCCCTCCAAATTATATGCATGGTAACCTTGTAGATAACATTTGTTATGTAAGGCTAAACTGATACACTGTATATATATGGTATTATAAAATCCCATCTTGTGCCTGCCACACATGGGTTTTGTCCTAGTTTACCATTTGTGACTTCCAAGTTTCTTTTGACAGAGCTGTTGTACAGTACTATTTTTGCACAATTATTCTAAAAATAGAATTAGTAAAGTTTGTTATTTCTGGTGTTATTCAAATATTTGTTTTTAACAAAAAACTCTAGAAGAAGTAGAATTTTAGAAGTCAATCATATTCAAACAAAATGTAATGTTCTTCTCGTTGCTAGACCTTCTGAAACCCTCAACTTTTTTTTAAAATTAAGCATAGGCACCAAAGCAAAAACAAATCCCAACTGCTATTAAAGTAAGCTCTCTCTAATTAGATTTTTCTGATCATGTACCAGTAGCACCACCTTGTGTTAGATACGCACAACTTATGAATGCTTAAATTTACTGGTAATTAGAGCTGGGCAAATAACTGTTTTTTTTTATTCAATGGCAGTTGTAAAAAAAAAATTGAAGAGATTCAGTTTGGACTGAATGCACTGTTTTGCATTTGGTATTTTTTTTTAAAAGCAAATAAAATGAAAGGCTAGATTCACAAATGAAGAGGCAGCGGTACCCCTTATAACCAACAGCCCGGTGGTTAGGGCACTCACCTCTGGAACAGGGACTGGAACCCAGGTATGCTCCCTAACCCCTGAATATAGAGTCACACTATCTTCTCCTCACCCCGGCCCAATGGCTATTCAAATATTTTATACTAAGAGAAAAGCTTCAACAGAATGAGAGTGTCCCACTCCAGAATACCCCATAGCCTGGTGGTTGGGATACTCACTGGGATGCAACAGATCCGATCCAGAGAAGGGATTTGAACCCAGGGCTCCCCCATCCCAGTTGAGTGCCTAGCAACTGGACAATTGTGCATATGGGTGGAGGAGGTATGTTGTGATTACTGGGCCTAGAAGTTTATCCTAACAGTGAGCTCAACTGTAGAAAATGAAAGTGTGACGTTCGTAAGAAATCTCAATAAGCACCTGTAAAAAGGTGCAGAAGAAACAAAAAGATTAGTTAAAAACAAAAAAGCCTATGGTATAACTCAAGGACTGTGTTAAGATCATGCTTGATAAACAAGAACTAACACTGGAATATCACAAATTAGGTCTAGTTGATGGACAACATAGTGAAGAGATAGGCTGTTCTGCCCATCACTCCCTTTTGGGGTTCTCAAAGTGTCTTTTTGTAAGCGGAAAATTAGCAGAGGAAAAGCTGGCTAATGTGATGCTGACTGACAAATATAAGAGAAGGGGAAGGAGTGAGCTGCCATCCCTACTGTCTCCTAGGACCCTGGACCTGCTTCATCCTAACCCTGAATGAGGTCCCAACCAAAAAAGGTCAGAGAGAGGGAACCAGATAACACTGCCACCTCCACTGGTGGCACAAGTTTCCCAATGGTCAAAATGGCTGATAACACTATGTACTGTGCCTGTGTTTCTCCAGCAGTGAGGTTGCAAGTGAAAGTCAACATCAGAGACAGAAGCTGCATTTTTTTATCTTTGCTGTTCTTTTCTCTCTCCTTTTGTGTGTGCTTGTCTTGTTTTCTTCTCTAGGAAATGGAATCCAACTTTAACAAGAACAGCAACAACAGCTCCAACCCAGCTCAACTAACTATCTTTTTTTGGAGAAAAGGATTTATCACCATCTTTAATACCATCAAAGACTGTCAGAAAAGGGTTTTTCCTCTTTCTAAAAACGTCTGCAGTTTAGGAGAAAGGGAACAAAGGATGTTTTTAAAATGCAAGTCTTACTTAATACTTTACATTTCAAATGCTTTCCCTGTTTCTTCTTCATTTTCTATATCTTTAATAAAAGGTTAAAAAGGGATTTTTAATTCTGTGCTGTAATGGTATTAAATAGGCTAAGGTTTCTGTGTACCAAACCCTGAATCATGTTTGACCCTATCTAATGTTGGGCAGTGGCTGGGTTATATTAACACCTTTGACTCTTTAGTCCCCTTTATTCCTTCTAAATTAACTCAATAGGCAGCACCACCATCACTACCTCCTCTTCCCGTGGTTTTGTGAATGATGCCTAAATCCCCTTATGAATCTAACCACAAAAAATCAAAGTGTTTCACTAGGATAGTGTCAAAACGAACCATTTTTTGTTTCAGCCAAAACAATTCACTGAAGTGAATCCAAAATGTGCAGATTTTGGAGAAAAATTCACCTGAAAAACTATGCCCAGCACTACTGGTAATATAAAATATAAAGAGCCATTTATAAAAATAATGTTATCATCACTGCATAAGCCTGTACTGATGTTTTCACACAATATACCACACCAAACTGCCTTGAAACTACTGTATCGATGGAAACACTACCGAAGTATTAAGTACAAAAATATTATGTTATTTGTTAAACTTCTCTACTTTTACTGAAACAAACGTGAATAAACTGCACTTACAACAGACTAAATAAGAGGATCAAATGCCACAAATGTAATTAGAGTATTCATGACACTCAGTTCAAGATGAAAGATCAATGTTCTGAATAAGCTCAAAAAAAAGAATTAGCCCCCTAACACCACGATGCTTAGACTGATGTGTAAAAATACGTCAGTAACACCACAATACAGTACAGCAACTGTAATACCGTGTAGGCAGTCATGGGCTAAGGAGGAAGGTCCTCTCATGCATCAGTAACTAGTTAAAAGGCAGGAAACACTGTTAGTTTTCACAGTGGAGAGATGCAAATGGCAAGGTCCCTCAGGGCTCTGTAACACGACCAGTGCTGTTCAACATACTCATAAATGAATTGGAAAAAGGGGTAAACAGTCAGGTAGCAAAATCTGGAGACAACAGAAAAAAAATCAATCAAGATAGTCCAAAGCAGACTGAAGAGTTACAAAGAGATCTCACAAAATTAAGTGAGTGGGCAACAAAATGGCAGATGAAATTCAATATTGATAAATGCATATGGGAAAACATTCCCAGCTATACCTACAAAGTGATGGAGTCTAAATTAACTGATACCACTCAAGAAAGATCTTGGGGTCATTTTGAATAGTGCTCGGGAAACATCTGCTCAATGCGCAGCGGTTGTCAAAAAACCCCGAACAGAATATTAGGAACCATTAAAACAAAATTGACTGGGGTGGAAAATAGCTTCCATATAAGAAGAAATTAAAAAGACTGACTGTTCATCTTAGAAACGGTTAAAGGGGTTATGATGGAAGTCTATAAAATCATGAATTGTATGGAGAAAGTGAATAAGGAAGTGTTATTTACTCCTTCACATAACTCAAGAACCAGGGTTTTCCAATGAAATTAATAGGAAGCAGGGTAAAAACAAACATAAGGAAGTACTACTCCACACAATGCATAGTCATCCATGGAACTCCTTGCCCAGGGATCTTGTGAAGGCCAAAAGTATAACTGGGATAAAAAAAGAATTAGGTGAGTTCATGGAAGATAGCTCCATCAATGAGTATGAGCCAAGATGGTCAGGGATGCATCTCCATGTTCTGGGTGTCCCTAAACCTCTGACAATCAGAAGCTGAGACTAGATGACAGGGGATGGATCACTCAATAAACTGCCCTGTTCTGTTCATTCCCTCTGAAGCATCTAGCCCGTGAGAAGACAGGATCCTGAGCTAGAAGGAACACTGGTCTGACCAAATGCAGCCATTATTTTGTTCTTATGTAACGATACTAAAAGAGGTAAGGCCAAGGGGGAAGAATTATCGTACTAATCTGAATACATACAACATTTAATAAGTTATAGATTAGTAGTAAAACATTTATTCGTGTTACTTACACTAATATAGGCTTCCCAGATATCCTAGGATGCCTTAGAACTTCAGTCACGATCTCTTTCGTCTCTTCCATTCTCTCTGTGTCACTGGAATCCACAACAAATATTATCCCATATGCCTCAGCATAGTAATTCTTCCAGATGCCTCGTATTCGTTTTCCACCTCCTAAGTCAAAGATAGTGACTTCAAACCTTCCCTGTTTAAGGTCAATTTTAGAAAATCCCACTGTTGGAGCTACATCTTCAGGAGACTCTGCCAAATCATAAAGAAAACATTTGCTGAAAGATTCGTTTAGCTATAACAATTTCATTTATTTTATGATTTGTATGTCAAAATTCAGAGTCTAAGCCCATACAATTAAAATGGCCAATACACTTCTAATTACATGTTTTAGGTTACATTTCCCCCTCTCCCCAGGAAAACAAGTTTGAAACGTTAATTCCAGAAGAACATGTGCTTCTTTATGAGAATTATCTTGTCTTTAAAAAAAGAAAAACAAAAACAAAAAAAAACCACCTATACAAGGAGCAGGTGAAAAACAGTGTAAGAATACCTGTGACTGACTCACATTTATTATGGATTTCTATAAGATGTAAGTACAAGTCTAATCATCTGTGCACTATTTATGTGGTGTTAAACTAACTTTAAAATAAAAAACAGAGCACAACAAATTAATGGGTTATGAGCAGGCCCTGATGTGTTCCACCAACTTTAATCCTTGCCACAGAATTGTGTTCATGAACCTCAGATTTCATTACAAAAACTTAGCCCTTAGGGTTGCTGAGACAGCGTTGGGGAAAAAAAAAAGAACCAAGCCTAAAGAGATGTACCAAATATCTGCCCAACTCTACAGAAGAGTGTGAAACAATAGCAGTATGAGATGTGAATTACCCCATTAGTCTCAAACAAGGCTTTGTGGAAGTTTTTGCAGCAGTGGAATTTGGTATTTTTCCAGGATGTCATAGATTTTGTCATTTTGCTGTAGTCACATGCTCAGAATTTGTTGCCTGCCCTGCTAGGACCAGCCTGCAGCTGTCTCAAGGCTGATTCCCCAATCTGGCACTTCAAGTGCAGAAGGTGGGGGTCCGCAAGGATTCTAAAAATTAATACTGGCCACTCCAAGCTTGTATTAAACTCCCAAGGTTACAGCTTCTCTCTGACCCTGGATGGCTAGATGCTGCCACCACCCAAGTGAAGAGAAACAAACAAAAAAAACCTTTAGACCCAGGAAGGCACTCTTGGGAATTCCTGCCTGTTGGGTACCCTCAAGCCCTTTCACCACCACCCCTCTGGGGAAGAGCTGAGAAAGAAAACAAAGGAAATCAGCTTTTGCCACCAGCTAATTAAACAACATATGCACAAACCTCTTAGGACCCAAAAATCCTAACTGGTTCTTAAAAAAAGGTAAATTTTATTAAAAACAAAAAGAAAACATACATCTGGAACATATTAACTATTGTTAGATTTAAGAAGAGCAAATATAATAATTAAGCATCAAGAATGGTCTTCTTGAGGTCCAGCTTAATGGTTACAAGCAAAACAAACGCTTTTAGGAATTAACACAGAGTCGTCCACAAGCCATAAAGAAAAAAAAAAAAAGAGATAAACCTAATTGCGTCTTCCTAGACATTTCCTGATCTACTTACATATCTGGGGTTTCAAATGAGTAGTTTCTAGGTACGATGTAATGATTTTTCATACCTGGAGCAAGCTTTTACAGCATAGTCCAGTCCTGTCCCTGCTGTCTGGGAGAACAACCACAGATACACAAAAAAGGAGTCTTGTTTCAATTTTTAAAATTTCTAGCCTTCCCATTGGCTGTTTTGGCCAGGTGCCCACTCATTTCCTTTTACCTATGTATGCAGTCAGACTTTTTAACCCTTTACAGGAAAAGCAAGTAGAGAACAGCTACCAAGAGGGATTTTATAGTTAACTGGCTGGCTGGGTGTCCATAAAAGGGAGCTACCCCCCACTTCATTTATCACAGCCTTCTTCTCACTTTCCAGCTCCTCCCTTGGAGGGAGCGAATTAGATTTCTGTGCGCTGTTACGTAGAACCAGGCAACAGAGGATTACGGAGTGACAGCTGGAGTCCTGCTCGCAGAAAGAAAGCAGGAAGAGTCAGAAGCAGGAGCCTGAAGAACTTTGCAGCAGCTGAGGCTTGTGAAACTGGAAAGATGAACCACTGGAACGGGTATAAGCACTCTCCCTCACTGACACACCAGGGAATGGCAATTCTGAGCCAGACCACATAGACAAAATCATAGGAGCCAAGACCCAGGCTGCACTGCCAGGATATATGGAAAAATGTATAGTATAGTGAAAAAAATGCCATCTTCAAAAATAACAGACATTTTATGCTGAGTATTTTCAACTATGAGCCATAATTGTGTGTGTTTGTGGGGGAGGCACAGTGAGAGCTAAGGGTATTTTTCATGGTTGCAGAACATGTTAATGTTGTTGCAGAATTTTAGAGGCTGCCACTGCAGAATTTAGTCCCATTGTACCGTGAAGTACAGAGGGCCCAGACTACGATGGACAGTCTTTTCTGTGAAACTTTCCTGGCTGCAGATGCCTCATAGCAAGTCTTTGCCCACTGTGCTGGCTGGTCCAGGTCTTGTGAGTTCTGAGAGTCGAAATACATTAAGGTGCATATATTTGGAATACGTGTGCATTACAACAATGCACTCAATTAAAACTATGTTCACCATCCAATAGTATTAATGACCCCCAAGCATAACTAAACAATTAGCTACTATCAACCCTGAAAACTAATCGAATGCACTCTCCTCCATGAGGTCAGTTGAGAAAAACAAATGTGACATTTCTAGGTCAAGCTGTTTTCACAACAAAGTATTAAGAAACTTTCAACAGAGTCAGAGTCTCTTAATATGGAACCCCATATTGGAAATATCTAGTCCACTTTTGGTTCCATCTTTCTAGAAGAAGTTTATCCTGGAAGAGGACTTTTCGGTCAAATTAGTTTGTTTTGCTGATGGAGGTGTTAGTATCAGTGCTGAAATAATGGCAGATTAAATATCAACTATGGATTCATGGTCTTTAAAAAAAAAAAAAGATCCAGAAGGACAGAGTTGGGGGGGAAGTCTTCATAACTTCATGTACACCTGATAAATCCATTGATTTACTGACCTGCAACTAGCATTTGGGGCAGAGAGTTTGCCTTCATACCTGTCAGTATATTGCATAGCACATCCTAGATGCTAAATTAAATGTACACAGCTGGAAAAACCTTCCATCTCCTCAAACACAAAGTTACACCAAACATTTGTCTTTAAAAGCACCAGTTTTATCCGATTCCAATTATGGCCTGCATGCATGTGCATTAGTCAGTGGAGAGGGGAAAGAGAAAATTCTCTCCAAAGCCAAATGAGCTCTTGCTGTAGAAAATGTCTAGGAAGTTGCTGGTGCTTTCCTGGTTATAAATGAGGATATAAAAATGTATCATTAGAACCATCTTTTAAGTTATATACACACCATTTCCTTCTTCAGATTCCTTTCCTAATTATACTGACAGTCAATATCATAAAACAGGTTATACTTAAAACATTGACTTTACATAAAGTTTACTGATGTATGCACATTGCAGTATATTTCATCAGAAAGCAATTTCTGTACAAAGAAATCAGATCTATTGATTTCTCTAACCTATGCTAATAAGTGAAATGTCTCATTTACCAGACAAAACACTTTATATCCTTGCAATAATTCAAACAAAATTATGAGACAGAATTTCAGTCCTAAAAGAACTCTGGATAATTTTTCTCTCTCTTTCTGTAAAAAAGCTAGCAATTTATAGTCAGCTCCTTCTCTAACAGAAACAGCATCTTACCCTATCAGGAAAAATATATATTGCATGTGCCAGAAAATGAACTACTGAAAAACTACCCATATTCTAAGAGACATGCATGGCCATCAAACATGAGCATGCACTCTCACCCAGAGCAGATGCACACATGAATTGTGCACACATAGCTACACAAACCCCAGATGCAGGTGCACACAGACAAACAGGGTGCACGCACCTAGGTTCTCACCTCTTTGAAAATTTAGGCTTAGAATTTTAAAAAAGCCCAAGGTAATTATGTGCTAAACTTCCACTGAATTTAAATGGGAACTGGGGGCCTAATTCCTTTCAGATCCCTTGACTCACTGGACTAAGACTGGGGTTTTTACGATGGATTCATCTGCAGGATTGGGGCCTATATTATCAAAGCAAGAGGCCCAAATAAAAGTCATTTTTATAAGGGACACCACAAACTCAGGTGGGTAGAATGAAGGGGGAATTCACTTCTGTCTCAAAGTGTTGTACATCATGTAATTACAAGTGACACTTATAGTTCAGGGCAACTGCACCCACATTCCACTCTATGGCCCAGCAGGAGCACCAACAGGCCAGGCTCCTCAGCTATCACCTCTCGAGTGGATTCACATTTCCCTCCCTCTTGATGGGTGAACTTCGAGGCTGTACAGTTCCCTGACTGTGCTGTGATATTCAGCCTAAAGAGGCCTGTTTTGCCATTTTTTCCAAAGATAAATACACAATAAAATTGCCACAGTTCTAAGTTACCACACAGCCCTTTATAAGCAAACATTTATTCTTAAGGTGAAAGCATTACAGAGAAAAACATTAAAAACAATAAAAGAACCGACACGCATGCTAATGAGCTTACCAAGGATCACTCCCTCACTCCAAAAAGGGTTCTGTTTGGTTATTAGTCCTCCTAACCCAACACAGGGGTTTTTCCTGTGGTCACAAGTTCATCACAGCTTCAGCTCACAACCAGCTGATGTCTTATGGGACCTCAATGGGCCAAAGATATACTTGCTACCTTTCCTTAAGGCCTGGGAGCCACATCTGGACTAGAGGCCCTTTCTGTTTGCTGAATCAGAAAGAAGGCCCTGAGTCAGTTTTAACTCAGGCTATTTATCCAAAATTCCTCTGACTGTTGGTTCCTGGAGAATTCAGTTTGAACAAGCACAGCTTCCACCACTGGAAAGAGGCTTGCCTATCTGGAGGAGGTGTGCCCTGAGTGAGTGTGCCAAAGCACCTCCCTACCTCCCCCGTTTTTAGTTCCTGGGGGGCTGTGGTCTCCCCTCCCCCATGTAAATACACACAATCCCTCAATAGGACATTGACATTTTCATTTTTAATAAAATCAACTCCTAAAATATTTAAACTTAATTCAATAAAGTTTGTCCAGGACATTGTCATAGCTGCCACAACACCTAAGAATACTAAAACTGAAAGAAGATCTTTTCCCCACAGTGTGTCTCTCTCTGCTTTTGACAGCAATTTTGTGTCATTTGTTTCACTCTTTTCTTTGTAGAGTCAGTTTTGCCCTGTTTGGAATATCCATTTAAACAGAGGAGCATAAAAACCCTTTCTAAATCCTTTTAAAGAGATGTAAGAATTGAGGTCATATCATTTAGGATTTTTTTTTAAGTTGGTCATTTTAAAAAGAGGCTTTGAGTTGACCAGCATATTTAGTCTTAAAATGCTTAGTTCAGAACTTCATATAAAGATTTACTGCTTACCTCCTTGGATTCCTTTCACTGTAGCAGTTTTACCAGCATTATCAAGTCCCACCATCACCAGTGTCACCTTCCTTCAGAAGGGCGAAAAAAAAAAAAGGTATTTCAAGGCTTTTTTTCCTAGTTGAACATTGTGTTGGACTTTTACAAGTATTTGAATGCATAAATAACAAAAAGTTACCACAAGCTGTAAAACCAATAGGCTTCAAAATATCCAGTACCAGAGAGACTTATGCTTGTTTATTTGGTGTTTGACATACAACCAGCTGATCAGAGAGTGCAGTAATAAAGAGATAAGCTTAATACTGGATGATAATATAACTTGAAGAGATACATATAAGACTTAATGATTTTGCCTTTAATTTGTATTTGTCTTTTGGAAATTGAATCCCAGGTACCATCTATTTGAATTCCATATTTTTGGCATGGTTATATTCTCTTTAACTACCACCATAACTTCCATTTCCCCCGTTTCCTTCAACACAAACTAAAACTAAAGCCCTATCCACACTGAGGATTTGATCATACTGCAACCATCAGTGTAGCTGCACCATTGAAATACTCCACTGCAGACAAGGAAAGTTATCCCAGTTGCAAGCAGAGTAACTTACGCTCTACAGGTGCGAACAGCAGCATTGCCTGTGTACGCTATGTGTTCATATTGGTAAAGCTATATCAATGTCTAACCAAGGCAAATCCCCAAGGCCACAATGAAGGTATTAGTTCCTACTGATGAGCAATACAACAAATACGTCACTTGTGCTGTAGCCCTTTTAAAGTCACATACACCCCTCTCTCTCCGAGGTTAGGATTATTTAAAATACAGCAATAAGGAAATATACTTTCATTACTTTCTCAATAATTCAAGTGAGCTTGAAGGGATTTGTGAAACAGAAGACAAAAAAGAGAAGCTTTTGAAACCAACACCTTCTCTAATCTCATTTTAAAAATAGGTAAAACTGATATTTTGGCTTAGTTGGGTGGCAAGTCCCTAAATTCCACTAATTAAGGGGACACTAAATAAAACATGGTTATTTCCAATCTCCTTCAGAATATGGTAGCATTTTGTGACAGGCTAAGTTTGTGAGCTGCACACCAATTTCTTCAGGGCTTCCAGAAGAACAAGAGGAGGTAGTGCAAGAGGTAGAGAGCAGGATCACAATGAATTCCAGTGGTGGCAATAAGCAGCAACCAAAAGAATCAAGTGAAATAAGTAGAAAAGTCTGCAAGTGTTTGTCAGATAAGTGGGTGAGGTTTGTGACACCACTAAACATACTCATGTGGCCCATTTGACAAGCTTGGATTCTGCAGAATCCACATTTTTAAAATTAAGTTTCTAGCTCTCAAGGCTGTCAAGAAATTCTTCCAAGGTACACCAAACATAAACAAATGTATTGTTCTCCTGAGTCTAGAAACTGACAATCCAAAACAATGGCTCTGGGAGGTGTCAGCAATTCCGTCCAGAGAAAGGGGAGAAAAAAAACAGGAAGGAAGATGTGGAAGGAAAAGAAACCGAGAGGAGAAACAACAGTGGTTCCAAATGTGACACTACTCTACCAGACTGCAACAATAGGACAGCTAAATAATGATAATTAAAACTAAAATTTCATAAAGGCCATATTCTACCCTTGATCTTTGTTCAAAGCTCTCAATGATATAACATCTGATGTAGATAAAGGGTAGTATATCTACCCTTAAATGTATATCCCTACCAACAGACAATAATTAAAAACAAAATCCAGAATGAGTTTGACAGCCATACATTAGACATTTTAAGTCACTGCTCTTCTCTGTCCCAATTCCCAACATAAGTCCACACAAAAGAGAAAGGTAAATATGTTGAACTTCACGAATTCTTTCAGTCAGAAACAAATTACCTGAGTAACTGATCATTGGTTTGTGTTTTCTTTTTTATAACTCAAAAAACATGTCTGATTTTCTCTCAAAGAAAAAACAATTATGCACCTTAGGTTCTGGTCTTTGATGTAAAAAAAAATAAAATAAAATAAAAAATCAGGTTTTATCAAAGGGTAGCTAAGAAGAAAAGTAAGACAGACAAAATGGTAGTACAGAGTAACCCTGGACATATAGTACAATACATAGAGATCTTTGAGATTCTTTGGGATGAAAGCCACTGTAGAAACAGAATACTCTCATTTGCTTAATCTTACCTGACAGGCTCCTGCCACCCTTTTAACCAGTTACAGCAATTGGCCATCAGACTAAACATCCCTCTTTGCCAGCCATCCAACGCCAAGGAAGCTACTGAAATCGTGTGTAGACAGGTCAGAGAACTCCAGTGAGAGAGACAAGGTGGTGGAGGAGCAGAGAGCACCAGCTCAGGTACAGTCTCGTCACTAGTAGCAATGAGGAAAAACAAAACAAAGAACACAGTCAGTCCCCAAGCGTAACCAAAGCAAACTTTCTTTCCCTTATTGGAAAGAGCCATCCCCCTTATAACCGTCCCTATCCTAAGGCTCTGTTTACCCTGGGCATTATTTCAGTCATCTGTGCAGTGCTAAATTACTGTAGATGAGGAAATCTGCAACTTGCACCAGTAGGATTTACCCAGTTTTCAAGCAGAGACAAACCCCACGGAACAAATTGCAGCTTTCTTGGATGACCCATCACACAGCTATGCTGGTGGCTGAAATCAGTGATAATTCCAAGTGTAGTCAAGATCGAAAATCCTCATGGGAGGAGCATCAGCACATAGGCCTTGGGAAAAGGAGATGGAGCTATTTTTAAATGTAAACTTTCAAATTGGTCAGGCTTCTGATTGCTTATCTACCCAGATTTGGAGACTTAAGAGTAGTCTCAGATGCTTCCTCTTCCCCATATGCTTTGCCAGTGCCAATTTTTGTAGGATTTACAATCCCATTTCCCTGTTTGTTTTCTGGAGTGATGGGGGAATATTTCTCTCTCCTCTGTTGCTATGTAAAACACCCACACAAACAAAGGCCACTGATTATACCTAAAGCTTATGCCCAAATAAATTTGTTAGTCTCTAAGGTGCCACAAGGACTCCTCATTGTTTTTGCTGATACAGACTAACAGGGCTACCACTATGAAACTTGATTATACACAATGAGCAGTCAAATGCAAAGTAAACAAAAAATTAAAAATGGTCTCATTTCAAGGTAGAATGACCTTAGGTGTTATAAACAACAGTAGGAGACAAGTGTGATTTTTAAATTAAGTGTCCCTTCAAGTTTATGCTGCTGGGACAGAAAAAGCATACCACAACTAATAATTAACCATAGTAGCTTTCCTATTATCTAGTGGTTGATATGGAAGGGTATGGGAACCACCCTTCCTAACACCACCATTCCTCTCTCCACTAGACTCAGCAGCAGCAAAGAAGCCCATATCTCCATTGCCAGCTTCTGGGAAGCACAAGTATGCTGGGATTGCTACCAGGAAACTGTCCTCAGAATCTACTCAGAGATATTGGTTCTAATGCCAGCCTCTGACTAATGAGGCTTCAAAATTTATCAGCAGCTTATCTGGCAGCTTGGAGACAGATTTCTCACCACGAACATTCCAAAGCTTTCCAGGGGTGGAACGAGTGCCTCTACAACCACACTCCTTTCCTAGCCTCTTGGTTGCTGGTGGAAGGAAGTCTTCAGTAAAATAGTCATCTCAGAGTCTCTCTCCTCCTCCCCCATCAATAACTACATCACCTATTTTTGCTACTGCTTATGGCTTTCCCAGAGAGTACCATGAAACCAGTAGTTCAGGGGCTCTCAAACGGGGGATCGTGACTCCTCAGGGGGTCGAAAGGTTATTATCTGGGGGGGTCACGAGCTGTCAGCCTCCACCCCAAACCCCATTTAGCCTCCAGAATTGATAATAGTGTTAATTATTTTAAAAAATTAATTTATGAGGGGGGGTATCACACTTGAGGCTTACTTTGTGAAAGGGGTCACCAATACAAACATTTGAGAACCACTGCAGTAGTTCTTGATGGCTTCTCTGCTGCCTACAGGGTTTGAATGTCAAGGACAAAACAGAGCAGAATCTTGTTAATTTCACTCTGCTGTTGCTGCTCAGCAAAGCTAGGAGCAATCACAAAGGACTGGAACCCAAATATGCGGTTCTCTTTCACTTTCAGGGACAAAGCCTATGAGATATAAATGTAGGCAAACCATTATCAGGAAAAAATACTATATCTATGAACAAAGTCAGTGGAACAAAACTAAAACACATGTTTTTGTATCTTCATAGTGTAAGGCAAAACTGTTTCTAGGTAAACCACCATCATATCTTAGATTACCAGACAATTTTTGACTTTGCTGTGGTGATGTAAGCTGAGGGTGCGGAATTTTCATCCAAGACAACAGTCTGATGACTCACTTATAAACTAATTAAAAAAAAAAAAGCTTTTAAGACTACCTCTCCCCAAGAAGTGTTTTAATTTAATCACATTTGGCTGTATATTTATCACATACCTGCCTGACTTGTCTTTAAATTTGAATTTTAGAAGAGGGGATGGGATTATTTTAGCTGTATTTTATTTTGAACAAAAATTCAAGGCGGTTTCAACAGTAAAAGCTTTTTGGCAAAAAATTTAATACTCTTCCTACCAGCGAAAACTAACTTAACAGATGTACAGAATAAGAAGGAACACTACTATGCTATAAGAAAAGGAGTACTTGTGGCACCTTTGAGACTAACCAATTTATTTGAGCATAAGCTTTCGTGAGCTACAGCTCACTATGCATCCGATGAAGTGAGCTGTAGCTCACGAAAGCTTATGCTCAAATAAATTGGTTAGTCTCTAAGGTGCCACAGGTACTCCTTTTCTTTTTGCGAATACAGACTAACACGGCTGTTACTCTGAAACCTGTTACTATGCTATGAGACAGTAACAGACAGAGCTACTAGGAAGGATAGTTGAACCACTAAAAGTTGTTCTTCTGTAATGCAAAGTTACTGCACAAACATATCCATGCATCCTTGTTGCAGTGTCCAGCCACTACCCTGCAGACAGGTCTAGTGTACTGGTCTCTTCCACCCTGGGAAGAGATGGTCTTCCGGGTGATACCAAAGATCCACTCTACTCTGTCGAGAGAGTTCATATATTGTTTGCACTGTTGTCCCGGCCAGGTCAGTTTCAGACTATTAGAGAGACAAGGTAGGGAAGATATTTTCTTTTATTGGACCTACTTCTGTTGATGAGAGAGAGACAAGCTTTGGAGCCACACTGAGCTCATTCCCCCCAAACACACACACCTATGAGAAAAGCAATGCCTAGCTCCAAAGCTTGTCTCTCTCTCTCTCTCCCCAAGAGAAGTAAGGTCCAATACAAGATGTTACCTCACCCACCTTGTCTCTCTGCAGACTTAACAGTCTGCCCAAAGTTTTGCCCACAAACTTCTCTTCCAGGACTGGAGCAACCCGCCCTTGGCCAGGAAGACAGGCCGGCTGCCCCCACCACCCCGGGGGGAATGAGGCGCCGCAACGCCCAGCCCCGGCGTGACGCTCCCGGCAGCAGCCCCCAGGGTCTAGGGCCAAGCTCCCCCCGTCCCCCCGCGCGTGAAGCCGGGACGCGGCTCCGGCACCTGTCCGGTGGGAAAGCGCCCCCGAGGGGCTGGCGGGGGGGGGGGGCAAGCAGGGCCCGCGGTCACCACGAACCAGCCCAGACAGCCCCGGCCGGGACATCAACGGCGGCGCGCAGGCGCGAGGGGAGCCGGGGCAGGCGCCGGGCGGGGAAGGGGGGGTGGGGGGGGGCGCGTTGAGAGGCTCAAGCCGGGCGCGCGCGGCCGCCCCGTTACCTGGCGCTCAGCGGCGGGGCGAGGCGACGAAGCCGCGCAGGCGCCTGTAGCCCCGCCCGCCGGCTGCTGCCCCCGCGCCGCGCCCTGCCCCCGCCATGAGGGCCCCGGAAGCGGGGAGTCCGCGTTCCGGTCGGTAGCTCCGCTCAGAACCGGCTCCTCCGGGCCCAACGCGGCCGCTGGGGTGGCACGTGACCGGATCTCCCCCCACCCCCCCCTCCTCCCCCCTTCCCTGCGCTCGCCCATTGGCTGGGGTCGGGGCCACACGGAGACCGGTACAAGCGAGGCAGGAGGGGCACGTAACTAGGATGGTCACCCGTGGTGACCGGGAAGGGGCGGGGCCACCATGGTAGCCAAACGAGGGGGCGGAACTGTGGGAGAGCCAATCGGGAGCGGGGGGGGGGGGGATTTTTGTTGCTCGAGGAGAAAGGGCAACCAATTGTGTCACGGGGGCGGGGATAGAACTCTTGGGGCGGTTGAGAGACTCCAGCTGCCAGCCCCCGGCGCGGGGGCACGCACGCGCACATATACAGAGTGCTGCGGGGGGCGGGGGGCTCGCTCCATCGCTGGAGAAGGACCACGGTGTCCTCGGCGTGTAAATTACGTGGCTCCCAGCTACGCTGGAGGAGTGCTATAGCCACCCACCCTTGAATTACACCGCGTGACAACGCCAGCAAATTCCCAGTCCCAGACTTTCCCCCAGCAATGTGTGTCTTGTCCTGCCCAGCTCCCCCCCTGGACAGCACAAGCTCATAGAAAGCCTGTCATTTCATGCATAGAAAATGATGTGCACAACCCATGTTATCCCAAATGCTTCAATCCAAACACACTGCTTTAGATAAAACAATAAAACAAGTTTATTAACTACAGGATAGGTTTTAAGTGATTACAAGTAATGAGGCATAACTGTAACTGTTTGTTGGTTACAAGAAAATAAAACACACAATGCCTAAATTAAACTAAATTAGTTCAAACTCTCACCCATTGTTCGAACAGTCTTACCGGCTGAATTTATTTCAATGCCCCAGTTCAATGCTGCTTCCTTTGTTCTTCAGGTGTTGCGGATGCCATAGGCAAAGAGAAAGGGCTTAATTTGGGATGTCTGCTTTCCCTTCTTTTAGTGCTGTCTTTTCTTCAAGAAGCAGCTCCGGGGGAGGTTTAGGAGACAGAAAGTTTGTGTGGACAGAAACCCCAAGCTGTTGTTTCTTTGACCAGATGTAGATTTTTCACCCACACCCTCTGTCCTGCCAAAAAATGGCTACTTAACCCAGTGATGGTGCATTTGATTTTGTTGACACCCGACTAAGGTGTCAGCTTGACTTCTGTCTCTGGGCAACTTGTCTGTGACCGCTCCCCAGACTTTGAAGTTCAGGAACATGTCTTAGTTATATCATACGCAGGAATCTTATAACTTTGCATAAAAGGTTGCCACACATATTTTACCAGGACACTGATAATCAACAAATTATGTGTTTTCAAATGATACACCACAAGGCATACCTTATATAAAATGACAGGTTTCAGAGTAACAGCCGTGTTAGTCTGTATTCGCAAAAAGAAAAGGAGTACTTGTGGCACCTTAGAGACTAACCAATTTATTTGAGCATAAGCTTTTGTGAGCTACAGCTCACTTCATCGGATGCATACCGTGGAAAATACAGAAGATGTTTTTATACACACAGACCATGAAAAAATGGGTGTTTATCACTACAAAAAGTTTTCTCTCCCCCCACCCCACTCTCCTGCTGGTAATAGCTTATCTAAAGTGATCACTCTCCTTACAATGTGTATGATAATCAAGGTGGGCCATTTCCAGCACAAATCCAGGTTTTCTCCCCACCCCACCCCCCAAAATACAACACACACTTTGCTTCTCTACAAAAGAAAAAAGACACTAAACTTTCTAAACTACTACATGCCACAAGGGGCCACAGCAATGGTTCCCTCAACCCACCCAGCAATATTGTTAATCTATCCAACTATACTCTTAGCCCAGCAGAAGCAGCTGTCCTATCTCGGGGCCTCTCCTTCTGCCCCTCCACCCCCCACGAACATGATACAGTTCTGTGGTGACCTAGAATCCTATTTTCGACTTCTCCGACTCAAAGAATATTTCCAACACACCTCTGAACAACATCCTAATCCACAGAGACCTCCCTACCAACACTACAAAAAGAAGGATTTTGGGTGGACTCCTCCTGAAGGTCAAGACAGCAGACTGGACTTCTACATAGAGTGCTTCTGCCATCGTGCACGGGCTGAAATTGTGGAAAAGCAGCATCACTTGCCCCACAACCTCAGCCGTGCAGAACACAATGCCATCCACAGCCTCAGAAACAACTCTGACAACAAAATCAAAAAGGCTGACAAAGGAGGTGCTGTTGTCATCATGAATAGGTCGGAATATGAACAAGAGCAGCTCTCCAATACCACTTTCTACAAGCCATTACCCTCTGATCCCACTGAGAGTTACCAAAAGAAACTACAGCATTTGCTGAAGAAACTCCCGAAAAAGAAAAAGCACAAGATCAAATCCGCACAGACACACCCCTGGAACCGCGACCTGGGATATTCTATCTACTACCCAAGATCCATAAACCTGGAAATCCTGGGCGCCCCATCATCTCAGGCATTGGCACCCTGACAGCGGGATTGTCTGGCTATGTAGACTCCCTCCTCAGGCCCTACGCTACCAGCACTCCCAGCTACCTTCGAGACACCACTGACTTCCTGAGGAAATTACAATCCATCGGTGATCTTCCTGATAACACCATCCTGGCCACTATGGATGTAAAAGCCCTCTACACCAACATTCCACACAAAGATGGACAACAAGCCATCAAGAACGCTATCCCCGATAATGTCACGGCTAACCTGGTGGCTGAACTTTGTGACTTTGTCCTTACCCATAACTATTTCACATTTGGGACAATGTATACCTTCAAATCAGCGGCACTGCTATGGGTACCCGCATGGCCCAACAGTATACCAACATTTTTATGGCTGACTTAGAACAACGCTTCCCCAGCTCTCGTCCCCTAACGCCCCTACTCTACTTGCGCTATATTGATGACATCTTTATCATCTGGACCATGGAAAAGAAGCCCTTGAGGAATTCCACCGTGATTTCAACAATTTCCATCTCACCATCAACCTCAGTCTGGTCCAGTGCACACAAGAGATCCACTTCCTGGACACTACAGTGCTAATAAACGATGGTCACATAAACACCACCCTATACCGGAAACCTACTGACCGCTATGCCTACCTACATGCCTCCAGCTTTCACCCTGACCACACCACACGATCCATTGTCTACAGCCAAGCTCTGCGATACAACCGCATTTGCTCCAACCCCTCAGACAGAGACAAACACCTACAAGATCTCTATCAAGCATTCTTACAACTACAATACCCACCTGCGGAAGTGAAGAAGATTGATAGAGCCAGAAGAGTTCCCAGAAGTCACCTACTACAGGACAGGCCCAACAAAGAAAATAACAGAACGCCACGAGCCATCACCTTCAGCCCCCAACTAAAACCCCTCCAACGCATTATCAAGGATCTACAACCTATCCTAAAGGATGACCCAACACTCTCACAAATCTTGGGAGACAGGTCAGTCCTTGCCTACAGACAGCCCCCCAACCTGAAGCAAATACTCACCAGCAACCACATACCACACAACAGAACCACTAACCCAGGAACCTATCCTTACAACGAAGCCCGTTGCCAACTGTGCCCACATATCTATTCAGGGGACACCATCACAGGGCCTAATCACATCAGCCACACTATCAGAGGCTCGTTCACCTGCACATCTACCAATGTGATATATGCCATCATGTGCCAGCAATGCCCCTCTGCCATATACATTGGTCAAACTGGACAGTCTCTACGTAAAAGAACAAATGGACACAAATCAGATGTCAAGAATTATAACGTTCATAAACCAGTCGGAGAACACTTCAATCTCTCTGGTCACTCGATTTCTAATCTCAAAGTGAGTATCCTTCAACAAAAAAACTTATAAAACAGACTCCAGTGAGAGACTGCTGAATTGGAATTAATTTGCAAATTGGATACAATTAACTTAGGCTTGAATAGAGACTGGGAATGGTTGATTTATTATAAAAAGTAACGTATTTCCAATTGTTTATTCCTTCCACCCCCCCCCACTGTTCCTCAGACGTTCTTGTTAAACCCTGGATTTGTGCTGGAAATGGCCCACCTTGATTATCATACACATTGTAAGGAGAGTAACAGCCATGTTAGTCTGTATTCGCAAAAGAAAAGGAGTACTTGTGGCACCTTAGAGACTAACCAATTTACAGCTCACGAAAGCTTATGCTCAAATAAATTGGTTAGTCTCTAAGGTGCCAAAAGTACTCCTTTTCTTTTTATTGTAAGGCGAGTGATCACTTTAGGTAAGCTATTATCAGCAGGAGAGTGGGGTGGGGGGAGAGAAAACCTTTTGTAGTGATAAACACCCATTTTTTCATGGTCTGTGTGTATAAAAACATCCTCTGTATTTTCCACAGTATGCATCTGATGAAGTGAGCTGTAGCTCACGAAAGCTTATGCTCAAATAAATTGGTTAGTCTCTAAGGTGCTACAAGTACTCCTTTTCTTTTATCTAAAGGGATCACTCTCCTTACAATGTGTATGATAATTAAGGTGGTCCATTTCCAGCACAAATCCAGGTTTTCTCCCCCTCACCCCTCTCACCACACCCCACTCTCCTGTTCGTAATAGCTTATCTAAAGTGATCACTCTCCTTACAATGTGTATGATAATCAAGGTGGGCCATTTCCAGCACAAATTCAGGGTTTAACAAGAACGTCAGAGGAACAGTGGGGGGAGGAATAAACAAGGGGAAATAGGTTACTTTTTATAATGACTCAACCATTCCCAGTCTCTATTCAAGCCTAAGTTAATTGTATCCAATTTGCAAATTAATTCCAATTCAGCAATCTCTCTTTGGAGTCTGTTTCTGAAGTTTTTCTGTTGTAATATCGCAACTTTCATGTCTGTAATCGCGTGACCAGAGAGATTGAAGTGTTCTCCGACTGGTTTATGAACGTTATAATTCTTGACATCTGATTTGTGTCCATTTATTCTTTTACGTAGAGACTGTCCAGTTTGACCAATGTACATGGCAGAGGGGCATTGCTGGCACATGA